TAGTTTTAAAAATTGAAACTAATATTTATAAATAATATGTTATTTGTAGATTGTATTATTGGTGAAGATTGTGGTAAGAGAGAAATTTTAAGGAATAATTTATTGAAAAAGCCACAAGGTAACCATGCTTTTAATTTGTGATTAGTGTTACTTCTTGTTAATTGGGTGATTATTGAGAAAATCATGAATTTTGTAATATTGTATAATTGTGCAATATTATTATTAATTTGTTTAATTATTGTGGGAGGTGTTAGGAGACTTGCTATTACTGTTGTATTTATGTGCCACGTGGTACGCCCCTATTGGAGCTCAATAGGTGGCTTGTAAGGGCTCGGGCTAATCTACCTTTGGCCGGGTAATTTAGCACCGAGTGAGGGCTACGGCTCGAGGTTAATGGAGGGATATAAGGATGGTTGTTTGTGTTTATTATAATATTTCTTATATTTGTTGGAATTATATTATTTTTAATTTTTACTTAGTAAGCACACACTTAACTGTTTGTATACACTATCATAAATTGGCTTTGGTTATTGTGACTTTTGAGTCTCATTATGTGGTTAACAATTTTCAGGAGAAGAGCCACGAGTGACATGTGGAGGAGTCCCAGAGGCTTAGTGGTATAGATCCATTGTCTCTTTTGAGTATTTAATTTATGATTTATAATGTGTTATATTGCCAATATTAGGGCTTTTTGTTTATTGTCAATTATATGAATATATAAATGTAATCATGCCTTTCAAACTATTTTTATTTTTGGTACAATTTGGATGACTGTAATTTTAATATTTGGTTTGTGTTAAAAATTGACTAAATTGCTTATTTTACTTGTTGGGAGTATAAGGATAGACAAATGTGATTTAGTTTACTTATTAGGAGTATAAGGATGGACAAATGTGATTTAGCCTAATGGCATGTGGGAGGTAAAAATTTATCTGAAATGTTATATTGTGTGAGTTGAAGCCAATTATAAAATATTTTATATTAAAATTATTGATATAAAAATATATTGGGTGGCTGTAACCTAACTATGGTTGAGTTAAATTATTTAAAAAAAATTTTGGTGTGTTATATAATCTCCTGAAAATGTTTTATTACATTCACGTAATTTTAAATTTTAAATTTTATATTTAAGCGATCATAATTTATTTTATTTTATTATGGACAATAAAGTACTTGCCGAGGCATTTTCTTTTTATTAAAGTATTGAGGCGATGCCGTTTAATATTGGCCTTGAGAATGAAGCATGTGTAAAATAACCAAACGTTACATTTGGAAAACAGCTAATAGATACTCATCTGTGGCTTGTTTCTGAACTTCCGGCAATCGTCATGACGGCATCACATTTTATTATTTTTTTTCAGATGTTATGTTTCATTGATTAATAAATCAACAAGCCTTTGAGAAGTGGTCTATTCAGTTTCATTTATAATACATATACATACATACTTTTTTATTCTTATATATAAAATATTTTTTAAAATTTTATTTTATTTTTAAATATAAAAAGGGACAATGATATTTTTAAATAATTAAATAATTTTACTCTTATCTTGAAAAATAAAATGAATCATTAATTGTATTTTTTCCTACCACCATCATAATATTAATTATAATATTATAAGAGATAAAATTAAAAAATAATTATATTTTTATGTGAGTTTAAATAAATAACAAACCTTTATTGATATGTAGGATTCAATTAAAAATACCTTATATATAATAATAGAGGTAACATGTGTGTATACATATACATGTTTGATTTTACCAAATACTATAATGAATAAGGGCTTGGATGGTTTCTTTTCTTTGAAAATAATTTTTTAATAACAAAAAAAAATTAAAAAATTTATTTAGATAAATGTTTTAAATTTAATTATTTGTAAAAATATTTGTATTTTTTTAAAAAAATTAGAAACATTTTAAATCTATTTTTGTTTTATCTTTTTATTTTCAAAATATATTATATTTGATTATTAAAAATTAGGAGTGAAAATAGGTTTGGCTATGTGATATATCAGAGGCCCAAATCTGACCTAAAACTTATATAAGGTTTTTTGCATAACTCAATCCTTATCCTACCTAAAGCTTAGTAAGCCTGACTATTCAAAAACCTATTTAAAAGTAATTCTTAAATAAACTTACATTTTAATTTTAAATGTCTCAAATATATTTTAGGACTATTAGTATAAATATATAATTTAATTTATTAATTATAATATATAATAATTAAAAAGATTTACCAACTACAATATAATACAATAATAAAGTAATAACATTAAAATCAATATATAAATTTAATCTAACTGAAAACATAACTAAAAATAAAAAAAATAGATTGATTAAAAATTAAATTAAGAAATTGATGTATGTATGATATATTACATATTATATGTCTGTGTAAATAGGCTAGCCTATTGAATTTGTAAGTTAGAACTTGAATAACTAGGCCTAATCTATTTAATTAAATATGTATAATTAAAGGTCTGAACCTTATTTGAGCTTATTTAGTAAATAGGCTTGATTGGGCTTGAAATAGGTTAGCCTATAGGTCTAGCTTGTTCCCACACCTATTAAAAACTACAATTACTTTTATTAATTACTATCATAAATCACTACCATTAATTATTGGTGACTATCGATGTCTAATTTTTTAAAAAATTCTAAAATTATTTTTAAATTAACACAATGAAATAAATATTTTTTTAATTTTGTTTTGAATTTTTTTTAAAAAGTATGACTATATTGTAAAACAGTTTTAAAAACAGAAATTAAAAACACATACAAACAACCAAGCTCTAAGTTCCTTGTTCTACACAGGCGGCGCGCTATTATTATGAGATAATTAATTTCTATCACGAGCGTGGTCTCTGTACAGTATTTTTACTTCTCCCAGTCTTTTTTTTTTTTTTTTAAGAATTACAGTTAAGTTTCACATAAAAAAATTAATTACTGTAAGGTTCATTAATAACTGAATTAAATTACATTAATAACTGATTGTGTTGTCAATACAGTTTAGTTCAATTTTTAATAAACCTTATAGTAATTAATTCTTTTATGTGGGATTTTAATATAATTGTCCCCTTTTCTTTTAAATTTTTGGTCTGACTTCTTCTAGTCTCTTTTACGCCACAATTATTATGATTAAGCTTAATCAACGAATTTATTCAGAGAATTTATGTAATGCAAAAGGAAAAAAGAAAAGAGAGTACAACATTTATCCCTGGCTTACAGATTTCTCTATATGAAACAAGGCGCGCGCGTTTGCATATATTACATAATATGAAAATTCAGATCTAAACCACTAAACTAATATCTTAACTGATTTAGAAAATGATTTATTTATATGATTGATTTCAATTATATTTGACTATGATTTTAATCATTAACAAACTAATATTTTGATAGGTTTAATAACTAGTCCCATGTTTAATAATTTGATATATTATACTTTTGTGACCGTAACACGCAGAAGAAAGATCGAACGTGCATTGACTGCATTCCCAGAACGACCCAACTGTAGAAGACAAAAGCCTATAAAAGATTATAAAAAATAAATAAGAAAATAAGAGAGAAAAATATATGGAAGAATTATAATAAAGTCTGAAAAGAAAAAGTTAATAACGTAGGTCCTGGCAAAATTTTCTCAAAAATAATTTTTACATATAAATTTAAACAATTATAAATAAAAATTTCAATTATAAATTAAGAGTTAAATTAAAATTTTAAATATCTCATTTTTAATTAAAACTCCTAAATTTACAATTATTTGAAATATTTGCAATTCATTTTTTTAAAAAATTACCAGTAACTTAGCTATCGTTAATTCTTTCTTAAGACTTAATTTTCATTCTCTCAATATATATATATATATATATATCATAAAAGATAAAAGTTGAGAAGTCAAGAAAATTTACAAGTTCAAGACTAACAAATATTTGGTTTAATTAGTAAAGGGGCTGTACATTTTTAATTACAAACATGATTTTGAATTTTGAAAATGCAACGGTGTTTAGTGACTGGGCTTTGGCTCCGAAAGACCTCGATCTGGTTTAGGATGTGTTTGGATTTTAATTAAAAAAAATTAATTATAAAAAAATTTAATTATTAAAACATGATGATGTTTGGATAAATTTTTAAAAATTAATTTTGATAAATTGAATATGTTTGGATGATTTCTTAAAAATTAATTTTGAATGTGCAAATAAATGATATAAAGAAAAGGAGTCAAATAGAGTTTTGTAAATGGAAGAAATTTCAGCTTCTCTAAAATGGAGTTTTCCAAATCAAATGAAGTTTTGTAAAATGAGGGTGTTTAGATAAACTTTTATAAAATTATAATTTTGATCCCAAAATTAATTTTCAATGTATATTCAAACAGGCCCTTAATCTATATAAATCGGAATTGTTCGACCGCTTGATGGTTAACCGGAAAAAAAAAAAAAAATTACAAGTAGAAAAGGAGGAAAGGAAGGCTGAGCCAAAATTGCGACAACAAACAAAACAACATTGAATGATAGGGATCTCGGAACAATGGCAAATGTTTCAAAATTCTTAGAGCCGCGTTTCTCAGAGATAGTACAATCATGACTCATGACCCTCCCTCTCTAATCATGCACCACCACCACCACAGCTCTCTCTCTCTCTCTCTCTCTCTCTCTTACTTGTCATAACAATATATGACACATCAAAATTACAACTGTGGCTCCATTCATTAACTGGTTAATCAAGCTGACCCGTCTCAGTCGCCCCCACTTCATCACTTTTTCTCTCTTCCCCTTCTTTTCTCCATTTTCTCTTCCTATTACCCTTATCTCCTGTTCTGAATTGGAATTGGGCACTTGCCTCGGCTTCTTTAGAGCATCATAAGATCTCCACCAAACTAGCTAGTTCGATGCCGATGCTTCTTGTTCATACCTAATCAAAAAAAATATCTGCTTTCTCTCCCACCCACCATCATCACTATACTCTTTAAATTCTTGATCGGGCCCATTTTGTTAAAGATGAGTGACAAAGGAGATTCGGCCAAGAAGCAGCAACAACAGTCTCAGACGCAGCTCCCACAACAGCAGCAACAGCAGATTCCATCTTCTTCTCCTCTTCATGTGGAGGAAACTTCGGCGGAGGCGAAGCCAATTCATCAGCATCATCTTCATCACCATCAGCCGCCGCAACCAGGAACACCGGTCGTCGGAGTCAGTGGTGGTGCCTCTCCTTTCATTCCCACGCCTCTCTATGTCTCCGCTGGTGCAACAGCTGGCTCTCCATTTGACACTGCAAGTAATAATCCCAAAAGGACCAGATACACTAGTGGCCAATGGAAGCTTCTGCCTTCTCCTTCCTCTCAGCAAATGCCTTTACTCTCTACGGAATCAAGCCCTTCCCCATCTCAGCTCCCACTTCAAGTTCAACCCCAAGCCCAAGCCCGTGCTTCAGCAGCTTCTTCCTCAGACACTGCCTCGTCTGATCCTACTCACTCTCCTCCTGTGCCGTCTTCTCTTTCTCCCGCCGCCGGACAGGAAGGGAACAAGTCGGAGGGGGAACAGCAAATTCACCATCAATTCAGGAAGGGGAAATACGTGAGCCCGGTTTGGAAACCTCACGAGATGTTGTGGCTAGCGAGAGCTTGGAGGGTCCAGTACCAAGGTGGTGGTGGTGGGTCCGAGTTGATGGGATCATCTTCTAGCAGAACAGAGCATGTAGAAAGTGGTGGTCAGGCTACTAGAGGCAAAACTAGGGCTGATAAAGATAGGGAAGTGGCAGAGTTTCTGCAGAGGCATGGAGTGAATAGAGATGCCAAAACGGCTGGGACTAAATGGGACAACATGCTTGGAGAATTCAGGAAAGTGTATGAATGGGAGCGAGGTGGTGAGAGACAGCATGTTGGGAAAAGCTATTTCAGACTCTCTCCTTATGAGAGGAAGGTCCATAGACTTCCTGCTTCTTTCGATGAAGAAGTTTTTGAAGAGCTTTCTCAATTCATGGGTTCCAGAATGAGAACTTCCCACGCCAGAGGTGCTGCTTCTTCCTCCATTATTGTCGGTGGAGATGATTCTCGGACAAGAGCACTGCCCCCACCTCCGCCGTTTAAAGAAGATGACCTTCCACTCTCAGGTTCGCAGTATTATTTTTGGGAATGCTGATTAAATGAAGATGGTTGTTGCAAGTTTTTTAATAATTAATTAACAGTCCTATTATTGGTGATTTCTAACAGCTAGGACAAAGCAATTGGGGATGACAAGTGGCGGTGAAGCATTATTTCATGGTCCTCGAGGTATGATATTAGGGTTGGAGTCTCCCTTGGAAATTGCAGGTCCTTCGTTGGCTTCTTCTTCAAAGGACCTCCGACGAATTGGGAAGATAAGAATGACATGGGAGGAATCAGTGAACTTGTGGGCTGAAGAAGGTGAACTTCACAGAGGGAGAGTGAGGCTTCAAGGTTCAAGCTTTCTGAAGGCAGATGAACTGTCCTTCTTTGACGATTCAATGGTGCTTTGCACCATGGAGAATTTCGAAGATGGTCCCTTAAAAGGTTTCTCTGTTGATAGATTCGTTTCCGGACAACAAGTCAAAGTCTTTGGCAGAAGAAAGTATTCTTCCTCAGCCTCTGCTTCGACTTCTGGTACATTCCCCCAAACAAAAACAAATTTCTCTCACATGTTGTTGGGATCAACCTTAACTTGCTTGTTCTCTTTTAACAGGTTTTCCTGAAAGAGTTCAGCTCCCATACACAGAACCTTTGATAAGATGTAAGCTTAGTTTATATTAACCAATCAGTCCATGTTTTTTTAAAAAAAAAAAAAAATCTCGGAGCATTAATGCTTGCAGTCTTATTATGGTACAGCAACGCCTCCGTGGGAATTTCAGGATCCAACCGATTACTACATGGGATGCTTACGTGTCTCGCCACCATCACTACCAACGTTGTATGAGCTGTCGTGGCACATCCAGGAGCCTCCAATGGAAGAACTTCGCTTTCCACTGAGGAGGGATGTGTACAAGGACTTGCCTCAAGGGAAGGAGCTATTCTTCACAACTTCATCTGAACCGTTGGATTGTAGGGCCATCATGTACGAAGTCGTAGGTCCAATCATTCGACCCAACCCTAGTCTCTCTCACGCCACTTCATCCACTCGAGAGTCTCTCATTTCTCTCTGGGATGACTGCATCAATAGGGTCGTCTCCAAGTTCTGTCCCTTGGAAATTCTCATCACCAGGAAACCCAGTGCTACTACTACTTCAGGTAATAATAATTCCACTGAGTTATTGCAAGATCAATGGCCTAATGTTACTGGTTTCGTGAGAAATTATTGCTTGTGGAGAGGAGAAGAGACTGATCAATTCAAAGAGGGTCAACTTGATCCAGCAACGACAATAGCAGAGAAGCTCTTGTGGACATATCTTGATCTCCCATATATCCTCGGATACTACGCTGTCGGTCACGTGGTAACATTCTGTGCACTGAGTAGGTCACAAGACCGAATCACTCGTACTGATTTATACACTCTCGACCTATCTTCACCCGCAGAGAGAATCAAAGCTTTAGTTCCGTGTTACAGAATCGGTACGTTGCTTCCTTTGTTAGCTGAGAGGTGCTTCCATATTAACAATGGTGGGAATTATAAGCTGTTCACTTACAGTGACTTTGAAAGAGTGGATTTGGGAAACGGGAATGTAATGGAGATGACGCCCAACACATGCACGAGAATATTTCAGAGTAAGAGAAAATGGGCTGCGGTGAAAGAAATTTACGAAATCTTAGACCATCGAATCCCACACGCTGAGTTCATATTCAGGTCGTGCGAGAAAGATCTGAACTTGGTGTTTAAACCCAGAGGGTGCAAGATCAAGCCTGAGAATTGCGAACAATTAGTGGAGGCGCTCAAGTACGTGACGAAAGCTTTGGTCGCTCTACACGACTTGTCCTTCATGCATCGAGACTTGGGTTGGGACAAGGTGATGAGGAGGTGCGACAGAGAGAACGAGTGGTTCGTGTGTGGATTCGACGAGGCGGTGGGAGCGCCGCAGCTTTACCCGTACATGGTGGCGGGCGGGGCGGGGGGAGAGGGGGCGGCGCGTGGGAGACATGCGCCGGAGATGGGAAGGGGATTACACACAGTGAAGGTGGACGTGTGGGGAGTGGGATATCTGATAAAGACAAGCTCGCTGTCTGGTTTGCCCAAGATGCTGAGAGAGCTTCAGAATCGGTGCATGGAACAAAACGCTGAGCAGAGGCCAACGGCGGCCGACTGCTACCACCACCTGTTGCAGTTGCAGTCATCACTGTCAGGTGCCGCCGGTGGAGGGTTGATGTGATTGAGAACGATATATTAATGCTTCATTGTTTAACGAATGTCTCACAAATGCCATATTGGCGTTGGAAATTGCGAGTTAAAGTGATGGTGATATTATTATTATTCTTTAAATTTGATGATTTTCGATGATGATGCTTTTGAAGTTTAAAGCGGGAGAAAGAAAAAGGAGAGGGAGGGAGCTGGAGGGTGTCATCGGAGGAAGAAATGGCGGCTACTGTGGATTGGAAGGAGTGTGAGACAGCTTCTTATCAAATCAAATCAAGGAACAGTTTTCTCAGTTTTGCATTGGTGCGTCTCGAATGTGAGATGATGATATGGCATTGTTTGGCTACATGATTATTGATTCTGTTCTTCAACTAGGATAGGTGAGTCTTAATTAATCTTTTCCTTCATATTATAAATGCTTCCACCCAGTCTCAGTCTTTTTCTTTCTCCCTCCTCGTATTCTTTGTTCATTTTCCTCGTTATATATATATATATATATTCGCAAAAAGGCAAGAAAAATACCAAGTATCTGCTTTTTAGTAATGAAGCCAGCATTATGAGAGTGTTGTTATGTATTTATGCGATTTGGTTTGAATTATTAATGACTATGCAAACACGTTAATTATCTCATCGTGCACAACAATAATGGTTGGCTCGTTAATTAGAACGGAAAGTGAGAGGGTTGAGCAATGTTATTAAATTAGTAATATAATGTATATAAACTCCTTTTTGATTGGATCGATGTTGATTATAATTAAGATTAAACTTTATTAAGTATTTGACATGCCATCAGGAGAAGTATAAATTAATGATGATAGTGCAATATGTTTCATGCATATCTTTAACATGTCGCCACGCACAACTCAACACTGCCTTATGATTATTATAACAGACGTTATCAATTAGTTTTAGTCTAGCAAATATATATATAGAATTAACTAACATTGTATGCTCTCCTTTTAAATTATAAGATATTTTTAAATAAAATTTTATATATTAATAAATTTTATTCAATACACTTAACAATTTTATTTTTTAAAAATAAGAATATAAATTTTTAAAAATATCCTTCATTTAATAGTCTTAAATTTATATTTAATTAGTTTTAAATAGAGAGAGAAAGGGTATTATTTGAATAAGTTTATTTAATGAAAACTTAATTTTTTCAAAGTATCTTGTATTTTAAAATGAAAAATCTCTTCTAAAAATGTCTTATAATTTAAGACAAAGGGACTACATACAAATGTGCCAGCCATTTATTAGCAAAATATATGTCTATTTATAGTTATAATTTACTTAAAAAAAACATTAGGGGACTTGTGTTTATACCTTTAGATGACAAACACTGGGAAATTAATTAAAGGGATTGAGCGTTAATTTTTAGAAAAATATAATCATTAATTCCTATAATTTTATCAAATTTTACTTTTATTATTTGTAGTTTGTTTTCCGTTCTTATAGTCATTATAATTTAACATTATTAGGGATTTGAAGAACTTAAATTACCCAATTTTGCTAAAAAAAATTATAAGGACTAAAAACATTGCCAAAAAATTACAAAGATTAAAAACAAAATCTGATAAAATTATAGGGATCAATGATTATATATTTTTTTATTTTTCATATTTTCATGATTCTTAATATTTAATTTGGTTTTAGGTTAAATAAAGCCCTAACGTTTGATTGAATGCTTATATATATTATTGATTAAAAAAATATTGTTACTATTGGTCATTGACTAATGGTCAAGCTCCAAATCTTTACTCCGAGTGTATTGTGGTGTGCCACATTAAGCATATATAGCTTTTCTATTGACAGCATGTTACCAACTTCAGAGCTTCATTAATATATATAGGGAATAAACCAAAAGGCTAAAATCCTTTTGTCATATATGTAGGCTGTCCTAAAATTAAAGCAGCTTCAATTCTTTTTACATCAGTTTCATGGGAAGGCAAAGAATTAAATTCTAAAGTTTGACAGACGATTAATTGTATTAATAAGTTGCTCGAACATATAGTGTACTCTATGAATTCTTATCTCGAACAATCTCGATCAAATTATGAGAAATTATATATGATGAGCTTCGGCTCTTGCTCATAGATAACTAATAACATAAGAGTTTTTGCATTAATCACATACTATAAGACTTATTACTTACAATAAATTAAAATAGCTTAAGCTATTTTTGAAGGACTTAGCACATTTAGTTGTGACTAATTCTCTAATCACTGAATGTAGGACTATCATATATCTAATATTTTCCTTAACTATTTTTCTTTCATCTCTTTTCTTTTCGTTTGAACATCAATTTTCTGCCTTTGTTTTGAGTTCCAAATTGGTTAGCTCTAATATCATATTAGGTAGGGTTTAGATTAATAGATTTAGATTTGAATTTTATCTCATATCTGAAATCTATATATTTAAAACACTTTCTTTAGGTAGTTTAAAAATTTTAAATGAAGAAGAGAGGCTGATTGGGATTCGAGAGATTAAAAAAGATATGAGAGTTCTAGATATATTAATAATGAAAACACGAAAAGAATAATATATTTAAAGTGATTAGAATTTTAAATTATTAGAGTATAGAGAAAATTTAAAATTATAAAAGAACTATAATTTGAAATAGATTTAAATTTAAACCAAATTTAAATTTATAATTTTTTATGTATCCAAATAAGAGATTTAATTTAAATTTAAATCCTCGTTGATCAAAACACACCAGAGTTTTTGCATGAATCATACACTAAGGCTTATCGATTACTTACATCAAAATAGCTAGACCCACTCTAAAAGGACTTACCACACATATTTTTATATTTGTAATTAATTCTGTAATTACTCAATGTGAAACTATCATATATCTAATTAAAAAACACGATGGGAAATGGTCTGGTTTTTTCACTCGTGTTTGGCAAACAAGTGACAACGATGAAAAGAAAACATACATGTAAAAAAAAAAAGTAATGTTTGATGAGGTTCTCATCACCATCACTTTCTTCTTTTCACTTTCCAGAGACGACGAGTAAAAAAAAAAAAAGACATTGTGGGCAGGCATGTTTGATTATATTGATCAAGATCTTCTTGTTCATTATAGATCACACCCTATCTCTTTTTATCACATAAAGAGACAGAGAGAAAGGAAGCTAGCCCACCGATATCGCTTTTCCCTTTTATCGTACATATGCTTTTTCATCAACTGGATTCCACTTTCCCTTTCCATCAAATATCTTTTGATATGCCAAACTGTACTCTGATGATCCCTCAGGATATGGATATGTATGTGTTGTGTGTGTGTGTGTGTCTCATTCTCATTATAATTATTTCCCTCATATTCTCATCAGTTTTCGAGACTGGCATAGCAACTACGTACATATGTATTTTTCAATGCCATAACTTTACTCTCTGAATGATCAAATCGTTTGCCATACAGTTAACGTGGTCCAAGAATATATATAACGTTTCCATGAAAAAAGCTTAGATCGAGAAAATGAGAATACGTAGGAATCAGGATTGATCTGATTTAGAAGCATTTAGGCCAAAGCTTTTGTGGGGTAATCTGTGTCTCCACTATGGCATCAAATGCCCTAAATTTAAAGAAACCTCGACCATACTCAAAGCCTTAAATTATATAAATATGGTGATGGATATTTCCACTATCTATATATTCAATAGATTTGCGCTTTTCCCCCCTTTCTTGGAAGCTTGCGAGTCCTAAAATCATGACTTTCTGATTTGTCATCCACTCAGATTTTTAAAACATTGATTGTAATTAATGAAATGGGGTTCTGATTGGTTAACAACAAACGATTAGAACTTGTTAACCAAATTGAAATTACAGCGAAAGGGGAGATGTATAGTGAGTAAAAAATTTACAAAAAAAAAAAGATGGTGGAAGAAATGGGTTTAGGGCATGGCAAGTCATGATTGTAGGACTTCCAAGCTTCCAAGAACCCCATTTCATTAACAATTACAATCAATATATCACCTGCCACATGACATATTCATTATAAAATATGTCCAAGTTAAGTTTTGAGCCCTTAATCTCTACCTCCCAAATTTTAAATCCTCCTTTATTGTTAGTTGAGTTAAAATGCACAAATAATTATTATATATAAAATTAAATATATATTATTTAATTACATGCACATATATCAAATAATATATTATTAAAAATATATACATATATATTTTATTTTATTTTCATTTATTAATATGTTAAAATAATTTCTATAGGTGACGTGGCGTGAGTTGTTAGGTGACATGACATGATATGGCACATACATGGCGAGGTGACGTGGCACGAGGTGGTGCACATATAATAAGTGATATGGCATAAGGTGTCAGATAATATGGTACAAGGAGGTGCAGATGTGGCGTGAAATGGCTTTTTTTTTTTTTTTAAAAAAGTTGACTTTTAGCGATAAACAAAACTCTCGTCGTTAATAGTTTTTGACGACAATAAACATAATTGCCTCTAAAAGTTTCTTTAATAAAATATTATATTTTTTAGGAAAATGAACTTAAAATGAAATAATTTTAAAATATTAAATAATTTTCTTATAAACATTTTTAAGAATTTTTAAATTTTATTTTTATTTTTTAAATAAAAATAATTAAGTATATAATTTATTCATAAGTATGCTTTATATTAGTTTACGTTAAATATCTGTTACTTTTTTTCCACATTTTTCTCAAAAATTAATAAATAACTTATTAAATTTTTATCTTCTCCCAAGTTAAATGCTTCCCCTTCTTTTATTAAAGATAAATTTTATTTATAATTTTTCAATTATCTTAAAAATATTTTAATAAAAAAATTATTTTAATCGTATAAATTTTGTTAATATTCATGTTGGACAATTATTCATCATTATCTTTGAGATAGGAAATGGGTGGATATGTAATAAATTCAAAGTAGATGCTAAATACAAAAAACTCTAAGTTAAAAATTTAAGTGGATATTTCAAAATTAAAATAAAAGGAATCTTGTCTTAACTTGATTTAAATAGTTTAGACTTTCATTAAAGTCTCTTTAACAGAGTCAATCTAAAGTTAATAGGATATACTTTCCAATAAGTTTATAATTTAAAATAAAAAAATTTTAATAAGTTTATACATAATTTCATCCATAATTCAAAAAACCGTCAAGTATTCTCTATCTATTTTATTTGTTGCTTATTTTAAATAACTACCAAATATAAAGTATCTTATTTAAATAATCCTGTGGCAGTGAAAAATAAGGCTCAACAAATGAAGTTGACATCATTTATATACTAAGCCAAGTATCAAGTACATAAGTGTTAAATAGTCTGCAATGCTATTTGCATATTACAACATCTATATAACTTTAATATTTTAATTTTTATGTATAATTTTAACATTTTAATATTATTTATTTCTCATTCTATATA